TATACCCCCATGCACCTTTTCCCCCTTGTGGCACCTTCTTCTTCTTCTTTTTGACTATTGAGCCAATGTGAGGAGTACATTTCTACACTGTGCGATCAATAAAGTCCTGTATATACCCCCATGCACCTTTTCCCCCTTATGGCACCTTCTTCTTCTTCTTTTTGACTATTGAGCCAATGTGAGGAGTACATTTCTACACTGTGCGATCAATAAAGTCAATCAATCAGTCATTGAGTATACACACCCAGGATTCGCTGACTCCTTTCAATAGCTGTTCTCCTGGTCTGCTCAAAAATGGCTTCAAGATCAAATGTGCGAGCCTTCTTACCTAAAAAATAAAATAAAATAAAAACACACATTAGATGCACGTCCAACATCAACGAAAGGTCTGTGGTAAAATAAATATAATCAAGCCTTTAAAGCTGTGCATACCAAACCCAGAGAACCCCATGACAGATCCAATGTCTCCATCACTAGGTAGTTTGTCTGCTCAAAGAGAAAACATTACAGTACAATTCATAACAAAGATGTCACTTTTAAGCATAAAGAACAGCTATTTGATGTCGCTTTCATATATGGTGAATAGATGCCTAAGAACAAAGATGCAAACAGGGGCTTTTATAATAGCATTTCAAACAGAAGAGAATCTAATAAAATACGTGTTTTTTATGTTCAATTTTCGATTGCATTTTTTATTTTTTTATTTTATTGGTTATTTATTATTCATTTTGAAAAAAATGTAGATTGATAAGTAAAAAGAACTTCGAGCTAAATTGTGAAGCTAGCAAAACATTAGCAAGCATTTACAGGTACTATCAAATTAAACCCGCAAAGAAACCTACAGGTATCCTACACTTTGAAAATCACTAATGTAGTAAAGTAGTTAAAATTAATGTGATACTGATAAAATAGACATTAAAACCGGCAAAGTGTTTACCTTCATCCATGTTTTCAAACACGCCTGTTTACCTCTGACCTGCGGAAGTGCTTCCTCTTCTTCCTTAGTGATGTTGTGCACAGCGCCCCTGCCGTCTCGGGGAAGTACTGCAGCAGAGCAGCGTTTGGTTCGCCAAACGACAAGCTTTTTCAGGGTGAAATGTCTCTGGATATCTCAGGTTTTTGTGTATTTTGGATTTACACAGTTTGTTTTAGATCGACTGTAGTAAAACTGAAGACATTTTTGATGTGCAACTTACAGAATACAATTTGTGTACTTGTACTCAAGAATTTGAAGAGGTGTTTTTTTTTGTCATTGTGACAAAAAATTTAAGTAAAAAAACCAAAACAAAGTTACAATGCACAAATAGTTTGGCAACAATAGTTCTAAACCTTTTGAAGCAAAACTGAGAATGTAAGAGGTCTTTGATGTGCATCTTGTAGAACAGAATTTGTGTATTTGTACTTAAAATTTGCACGGTGTAAAAAAAAAAATTTACATGTGAATTTTTTTTTTTTTTTAAATTCTCCAAATACAAGACTTGGATTATAACTCTCTCTACAACTTCAAATTCACACTTACAATGCACAAATAGTTTTGAAACAAAATAACCTTTATAATAAATACCAGAAATGTGGCCCAAGACAGCTGAGTGCCCGACAAACATGGATCCAGTACAGATATTTGTGGACTTGTCTAATGTAATACATTTTCTTTGAATGTTTTTAAAGTGTTTAAATGTAAACATATTAGTAAACTATATATAGTAAATAAAATTCAGATTTTAGTCTGAAACAATGAAAGTCTGAAACAACAATTTATAATAAAGGGTTTTAATTAAACCACAGCTTAAAAACAGTCAATAAGACATAGTTATAGAAATATAAAGATAACTTATAAAGACATTAAAAACAAAAATGTTTAAAAAGTTTCCATATCTAACTTCAGACAATAAAGAACATATTCTTAAATCTACAATTTATAATTCTGATTATAGGCAGCTATGGTACTATTTGATCAAGATTACTGTACAGTAGTTGTTTCTCCTATTAGTCTTCTTCTGTAGCCACCATCCTTTCAATAGCAGCCCAGTCTATTCTGCTCAGACTACTGCCTGCGCTGTCGGAGAGATCATCCAGCCAGTCGAATTCTGAAACTCCACCTGGGACAGCACCATCCTGCCCATCTAAAATCCTGTCTAAAACCTGAAGAAGAAAAAAAAAGAACACAAAAGGTGGTGGTAAAGATCAGATCGTTTGTTATGATTCAGAGAACTACATTAGCTGCATGTGAGCAAAGAAAAAAATCCTAATCGAGAAATTAGGGTGATCTGAAAAGGACATTTCTGCTCTTTTTTCTCTACAGGGGAAAGACTGGAACACAGGCTTTTTGACTCTTACCAAGGAAGAGTCTTCCCCAGTCTTAGGCTCCTTTACTTGTCTTAGCTCCCTCTGGTTCCCTCTTCGTAAAGCAGCTCCACAGGAAACCGCGTCGTTGGATCCAGTTCTTGTTTGGAATCCAACACGCTGGCCCTGATTCTGGTTAGATTCATGAAACATGGATCGGTTCTTGGTGTTGCTGAGCATTCCACGCCTTGTTATCTGAGACAGTCGATCCCCCGGCAAAAATGTTACTAAAAAAAAGAAATTCATAGTATAAGTAAACTTAAAGTATTTTTTTTTGGAATAGGGTTTTGAACAATTCTGTCCCACATTTCAGCAGATAAGTCAAGCTGAAGGCTTTTGGAATTCAACCATCTTACAGGACAATTATTTTCTTATTACCGGTATAAATGGTCGACTATCAGCAGCAGACATCTAACCTGCAGCAGCACATTCAAGCCAATATATAAGTCTTTAGTTTTCCTGTTTATCCCTGAAACGATGCCCCAACGCAGCACCGGATGTATTGAAGTACAGCATGTGATAACTATACCTGGTCGATGAAGTCCCAGTCTTCTGCTGCGATCTTCTGAAAGTCTCCCCTCTGCAGAATAATGTGGGGGTGGAGGAGAAACTCCTGACTGAGACTTAAGGCTTCTTTTATCATTAGCTGCTGCGGTCAGAGGCCTGCAGGAGAGAAATGTCACACAGATTAAACAAGGTCGACACTTGTCTTGCACTCTAGCAAAAACTTTCTGTCTTCTTCCAAACATGTAAACATGCAGGACATCTGAAGCATTGGTGTCACTCATGATCCATCCCTGTCACATGTTCTGTTTACAACAAGGTAATAGTTGCAAAATGATGTCCACCATGTTACAGCTTTCTTGATTCTCTGGACCTTTTAGGTCAGCTACATACATGTCATACTGAATATGTATACCGGTAAATGAAATTAAACGAGAACAAAAAACAAATCTAGTTTTCTAACCATGAAAGGTCTTAAGAGTTTTTTTCACTGTGTAACACAATTAAGCATCACTATCAACACTTTTTCTTATTTTTTAAATATCTTTTAAAAGTTTTATTTATATGTTTTATCTATAACTTTTTCACTTTAGGCAAGAAAGGGGACTTTTCTGGCTAAATAAAGGTTTTCATAGAAGACAGAAATAATCTAGAGAGGATCCCTTAGAGGACTTCATAGGTGGTTATAAACTTAGAAAACTCCAAGCAAACGTGAAGACCACAGTGAAATCTCTAATATTATGTTTAATTGAAGAGTTGATTTTAAATCCCACAGGTAATATTACACTCTTTTGCCTTTACTAGGTTTAACAGGATTTATCTTTCGAAATGAACTTAACGGATAAGTTGTGGTTCTTTTCTTTAGCTGATAAGCAATTACTTACCCCAATTACTGTTTACAACATAATATACGTATTTAATTTTAGTACCACAGGATACCTCGAAGCATTAAAAGGAGAGGGGGCTGGAGGTGAAATCAACCAGGTGCTGGAGAGAACTGGAGGCCCAAAACCCTGGGTGGAAGTGGATGCAGTTACAGAAGAACTGAGGACGTCTTTGGCCAAAGAGCAAGCCTCCTGTGTTCTCTGGTAGGATTGCTTCAGAAGCATGGACCTAATAAATAAAGTGGACAGAACAGTTTATAAATGCATGCATGTTCTAATCGATCCAAAAGTACACAGGTACCTACTTTTCTTTTTCATCTTTGTTTCTCCCACTGCTCGATTGTTTTCTGCTTGCTGATAGCTGCAGAATGTTAAGGTGCAGTAATAAATATTTTTTACAAAAAAGATAAATTGAAAAAAAAAAAAACTGGAATATCACATCTGGGAGTAAAAAGGCAAGCATATCTCACCCCTGCTGAAGAGGCAGAGAACGGTTTGTGCTCCCTCTCCCTCAGGCTCTGTCTGTGTTTCTGATAAGCTGCCAGTCTGTCCCTTTGTTTTCGTCTCATCCAAATCCTCAGGTCCTTCTTTTCCTCCTCAGGATGTGTACTGTTTTGGGATGTCCAGCCATGTTGCTGTTGGTCCTGCCTCCTAAAGGTCACATTTTCTGTCAGATGGTGTATATCCCCAATTAAAAAAGCACACATTTGTACTCTGTACCTGCTTGGGCCTGCAGTCTGAGTTGGTTCCCAGTCAGAGGGAGATAAGTAGCCTTCCTTCACCAACTCGTCTAAGATTTCCATAGTGTCGGATAACTCAGTCTGACCCAGATTCATTTCTGTCCATCTGCACAATAACAAGAGTGAAACATTGTAAGTTAGAGGAAGTTTTACATTTTAACAAGACTTCAGGTCTGGTTAAACTTACTCGTGAGACACGTCGTAGCTTTCACTGTAGTGCTCTTTTTTTCCTTTGGGTGAAAGATTTGAGAAAATTTTTGCTTTTTTAAAATAAATTTCTACAAGGAAATATTAGATGAAAAGCACTAAAGTCTTGCTGTATTTAAAGAGCTAACAGATATCATCCTATCAAATTGGGAGGGAAAAAAACAATCTGCAGTTTCCCCAAATCCAGCTAATGGAATTGATGGTGCTGCATAAACTTGTGATTAAAGACAACAAAAATGTCTGAATTAGTTGCATTTGAACCTGGAGCGATGTGAGCAGAGGAAGGACCCCGACTCGGAGAGAAAGATTTGGTTGAATCATAACGCGATGACTTTGTTGCAGGACTGCAGGAGACTTTATGAAACATGGGTTCCTCTTCCTGTTCTTCCCTAATTTCGTCACATTCCTTCAAAGCAGGTAAGAGGTCTGGATCTGGCCTTGACGTCCATGCTTTTGGAGATAACAAACATGGTTTTAAAATTAAGACAAAATGAAATAAATACGAAATGGTGCTATAATTTTCATAACAGATAAAACAGTTCTGGTCTGACCTTTGATTGGAGCAGAAAGTCTGACACTTCTTTTAAATCCCTTTGCATCAGACTCACTTTCTGAGGACAGCTTTTCTATTTTGTTTACCAGCTACACAAAAACAAAATAGATAATTTAACTGGTGGTAGACAGATTTATAAAAGGATATCTAAATAATCTAAGCAACTCCCAGCAAACATCCCCACTTACCATTCTTGAATGTGAAAAGTCCATCTCAAGACGATCTGCGATGTTCTGCAAAGCAGCCAGCTGAGAGTCAAGCTCTGACAGACGTGAAGAGAAGCAAACTGCAGGAGGTGAGGAAGGGGCTCTATCAGAGACAAGTGTCTGGTCCTTTATGGCTCGACAGGTTTTGGATTCACCCGAATCTACCGATGCGTCGCCATTTAAAGGGATTCTCTCTGCAGGTCTACTGGAGCCAGAATGACTGAATGAAGGAGGAGCCTCAGGGACTTCTATGGGATCAGATCGTTGTGAGAAAAGCAGATAAGCAATAAGGACAATACTGGAGAAAAAAAAAGTTCACACTCGGTTATAAATTTCATCATGTAACAACTACAAACTATAAAGTATTTTACTATGATTTTTTGTGATAGATTAACAAAGATTTATAAAATGAAAAACATGATTTCTAAATAAAAATGTAAAAAGTCTACCTTTATTTTCATTCAGGCCTTCCAAACAATGCTTTGCAAAAAAAAACATTTCAGTGGATTCCTGCTACAAATACTCTGAGATACATCCCTAGCAGCTTCACCTTGCAAAGACTTTAATCCAGTGACCATTAATTCATGCAAACTAGGTCCTGTTCAGTTAGATTGGATGAAGAGCATTGGGAAAACCACAGATTCTTAAAGCAGGACTTTAAGCACTTGGCATTGCCTTAAAGTCAGTAGTTTATTCAAACAAACCTGCCTTGCCTTTAAGTGTTCTATTTCAGCACATCAAACTGCTTCCATCTAGACCTTTCCTCTGGCTGTATGTTTTGGATCAATGTCTGACTGGAAAGTAAACCTCCATCAACCGAAGTGTTCTGTGCCTAAAAGACAATTTCCTGATTTAGCTCCACCTGTTTGCCCATTAATTCTGAGCAGCTTATCTCTCCATACCAAGAAAGTTTTCCCTGCAGTATAATGCTGCCACTTTCATGTTTCATATGGATTATATATTAAGGGTGGGGTCAATGGTTAGTTTTTTTTGTAAAGCGTAAAGTTGAAGTACAGTCCTGACCCCAGTACCATCATCACCTTCATGTTTCTTGAATGGCTTGTGGCAAACTCTGATGAAACATCTAATGGCATTCTTTCTTCCACTCTTCCATAAAAGCCATGCACGTTAAATGGGCAACTAATCCCTGTCTTGTTAGCTCATTGCTCCACCTGACCTATGGATCTCTGCAGATGGTCATGAGGTACTAGAGCCACATCTCTGATTGATGTTTGGCATGTTCTTTAGAGTTAATTATGATCCTTGTTCAATTTTTGTTCTCAGAAGTTTTGAATCAACACAAAAACTTAATTTAGAGCTAACAGAGTAAGGGACGCTGAATGAAAATATACAGAATCCTTTTCACATTTCAATCACTTTTGAAAATCATGTAAAATAAAATAAAATCCCAGTAAATAACACAGTTTGTGGTTGCAAGATGAAAAATGTTCAAGGATGTAAGTATTGTTGCAAGGCTCTATAAAAAAAATATAGTGAAAAACCTGTGGTAGATCTGGGTTTCAACAGATCGTTTGGAACTGAGGTTGAGGGTTGTGAACCATGTAGAGCAGCAGAGCTAAAGACAGAGGTGGCAAGAACATGAAGCTGGGCAGAAGTTGGTGAAGAAACATCCAGTGGTTGTAAGCTGGAGGATGGCAACACAGCTTCATGCTGCCTCACATCTTCCAGATCGAAGACGCTTAGAAACTGGCGGCCAGCAGGATCCTGACATGAAAAAGCAAGAAAAAAAAAGGTAAAACCAGGGAAATGACACATGTTTTTTTGTCAGAACTCAATCAACAAACAATAAACAACTTGATTTTATGGCAATTTAAGCACATTTAGTTTTTAGACTCATGACTTAGTTCGGCTGAAAACTTTTCTGCTTCATTTGAGGGGACTCCTACCTTCAACATCTCTGTTTCATGCTGGTTCTCCACTGTGCCTCGAACAGGGTCTTCTGGGAAATTCTCTAGACTTTGCACTAAGTTAAGAAAAAGAAAAAAAAACTCACTTAAGCTGTGTTTAAAAAATATCAATTGAAATTTCATCCACAAAAAAAAAACAAAAAAAAAACAATATAATCTCAGGTCAGCTTACTTTTTAGGCTGCTAGTTTTTAGTGAGGCCTGGACAGAAACAGATCTGTTCTCAACTGTAGGAGTAAGAGCTGAAAGAAAATCAAGTTTTCATTAGATATTGTGAAATTTTAGGACAAAACATTCTTGCACTTACAATTAATTTAACCAACATATATTGAACAAAACTGAACCCAGATAAACTTTTGATGTTTCTGAATGATTAATCAACTAAAATAAGGTAAACAACAGTTTCATATCAACTAAACTGCAAAAGTAAGCCCAGCCCTGAGTCACCTGGCTCTGTGTTAGTGAAAGCATCGTGACACTCCGGGGGATGTTTGCTTGTTGAAGCGAAGGCATGGAGCTCGGCTGAAGTGGAGAAGAATTTTTCCAGTAATCTATTACCGGTCAGCAAATCACTGGAGGATCCTGCAACTGAAGATCCAGAACATAAATTAGACTTAAAAAAGAAAACAATGAAGTATGGTTTTATTATAAAAATGAATCTGTTTCAATATCATTTAAGTTAGTAAAATATTAATACCTTTTTATTTTTTTTTTATATTTAACTAGATATGGAAAGGAGGGGAACCTGCACTCTTTTTGTGGCCAAAGTTCCATAATTTTCTAAGCCTAGATTTATGGACTTTTAGTATAAACTGAAAAGTCACCCAAGAATTTAAGGCAAGCATTTTCACATCAGCCAGGCTGTAAACAGTGAAAAGTTGAATGACGAGAGTGAATACAAGGATGAAAGGACAGAGGAATGGAAAGAATAATAGAAGGCTGAGATAAAAGCAAGAATAGAAAGATAGATAAATTCAGATGGTGCACTGTTTAGTGCACAAACGATGTTGGCTTAAGCAGAGTAACGTTGTGTTTGTGCACTTTTGTTTCTAAAACATTGTGGGGCCCATTTTCAGGGAAAAAAGTACGTTGTAGGGACAGACTGCTCCTTGTGGGGCCAGATGCATCAACCCCATACAGGGAATAGTTGTTTTAGGGTCAGGCTCCTGTTTATGAGCATCTTGTGAATTGAGTTTAGGTTGGGATTAAGGTTAGGTATAAACCCCTAATGGTTAGGGTTAGGATAAGGGTCACAGTTAGGCTGCAGAAATTAATGGAAGTCAATGGAAAGGCCCCAAACAAAGATAGTGAGACAAGTTTGGCTGTGTGTGTGGGTGTGTTGTTATCACCTGTCATGTCCTGTGCAGGTTTGATCTCTTCAGTAATTGCAGCTTCTTTACTTTCAGGTACGTGAGCTGCCTAAATTCAGATTGAGTCGAATATAATCAAGGTAAATTACCACAAATAGTTATAAAATCTGCTGAAAAAAAACTACTTTATGATTATAATTGACCCGTTTTACCTCTTTTGCCGGGATTATGGACTCATTCAGACAAAATGACACTTCTGTTTTCCTTCCCTTTGTCTTATCTTCTCTCCTCTTTTGCCTGTAAAGGGAAAATACTTAGTAAAATAAGTATAACCAACCAAGTATAAAACATGACCAACAATCATGGAAGCTAATATTTGGTTACCTTTTACTGGAACTCAAGCTTAGGGAGCTAGTTAGCTTTCTAATGCCTTCATAGGATTCAGCTTGTCTAGGTAAGTGCAGTGGAGCCACTTTAGCATCTTGCTGCAAGGTTTCTGCACTTGTCAACTCCTCCATAAGATGACTCACTGAGTTTGAATGGATTCCCTGGGGTTCCATCTGTAATCAATAGATAAGTAGAAAATAATTAGAATTAATAAGTTTCCTGTGATAACTCTTAAAGCCTTGAAGAAACATCAGGCCTGCTTACCATTTTGGGTCCAGGATCAATGTGTAAAAGCCTAATTAAAGGTGCTTCTGTCATTCCAGCAGAAATAACAACAGGTCTTGGTGCAACTGCTGTAGTTAATTTGGGGAAGCGAATGCTGCTACGAGGAACATCCTGTAACTGCAGCAGGCGAAGGCCATGCAGCGGTGTAGATATAGGAGTCTGAAAAGCAGGAGGGAGTAGAGGGAAAGTTTGACCGACGGACGCTCCCAGCGGCCATATGGGCGATGGAGAGTTCCTGTGAGGTGGATCATGTGAAGGGTTAAAGGTCAGATGCTGTCCATCTGTGTTTTTCCAAGTTGATTGATGATAGAGTGTAACTTTGGGCTGGTGGGACTCAGGAGTCTGCGTGTGCTGTGCAGCAAAGCGTGGGACAGCCTGCTGGGACGTAGCAGAATGATGGAGTTTAAGTAGCTTCAGACCCAACATCTGCACAGCAGAGCCTGTCTGTCCACTGCCTTTAGAGCCAGTCTGTGCACTGCCTTTAGGGGGCAGGTGTGGATTAGTGTCACTGCCATGAGTAGTGGCCAAGAGCCCGTGTGAAGAAGGGATCAGTCTCCTTTTTTCACTTTCCTGAATTTCTGGTGACGCTGCTTGGACAGAGAGCGGCTGCATCACCTGAAAAATAAAACAAATAGCCTGTAGTTGCATTATTTAATCCCATAAAAATGTAATCTTTTTAATAAAGTTACACCTACACAGTGATTCAGATTGTCTCCTGTTTTTTGCATGACAGGCTGGGCTGCAAAATGACATGACTCCATCTGATTCACCTGGGGGTCAGAGGATTCTGACTTTGGCAAACACGCATGTGTTTGAGGCACGGCAGAGGTAGCGTTTTGAACTGGAAAAATGTTTTCCTCCCGAATAACTTGAGTAACAGAAGATGAAGGCACATTAGGCTGCGAGGAGTTCATGCCAGGGATGACAGAAGAGGAGTTCCTCTGAGCCAGCTGCAGGCTGGAGAACGTAGCTCCTAAAACCTCATTCAGACTCATGTAGTTGATGTGCTGCAAAACAGGACAGCTGCCTTCAATATAGAGCATTTATTTCAATTCTTCAAACACACAGCTTGCCCTTTGTTCCAAGAGACGTTACCTGAACCAGTCTGAGTAGGTCTTCACCCAGACGCTGTCTCATTGGGGAAGTTATCAAAGGCGGAGCAGGAGTTGTACAATCAGGAGGGGGCGCACCAGCTGTGGAGATCTGTGGTTGGAGAGATGGTTGATCGGTAGCAGGGTTGGGGAGGGGGGCGGGACCTGAATCAGGAGATTCAGCATGAGAAGGAGGTTCACGGTGTAAATCTGGAAGAGCATGAGGTTCTGGCTTAACAGGAGGATAACTGTGGAAAAAATTAGACAACAAAAAGGATAATTCAGTTACAGCCATTTGAAATAAATAAATAATATATATTGCCTGTAAACACCAAATGAATGAGAAGGGTCAAAGATTTATTTTTCAGTTTGATCTTTAAAAAGGTTAAAAGATCCATGATGCTGATATTATAGCAAGTAAGATGTTCTAAAACATTTTTATCCTCAAATTACAAACTCAAGAGTCTAGATTAATAACTTTATCATTATGGGAGTATTGGCCTAGTGGTTAGAGCAGTGCATTTGTGCTCCGAGAAGGTTGCAAGTACCCCGTTCGATCCCCATAGTCTGTACTCTGGGTCCCTGAGCAAAACACTTAACCCAGCACTGCTCCCGGAGCACCGCACAGTGGCAGCCCACTGCTCCCCAATGGGATGTTTTAAATGCAAAGGTGAATTTCTCCTGTGTGCGATCAATAGTGTTCAATTATTATAATTATTATTATCATACTACATTTCCATAGTCAGTTTCTTACACCTTACTAGAAAAATGTCCAAACCAATATACACCATTTTCAGACTCTGCTGCACTACATATAACAGCAGTAACTTTAACTACTAAAAGATTATCATTTGAAACTTACTGGGATTGGGAACTGAATAAACGTTTTTCAGCGTAGTCAAGGTCTTCAAGCTTTAAGCTCTGCAAAGTGAAATGAATCAATGAATGAATGAATGAATGAATTCCAGAATGGAGCAGAGTGAATATTCAATATTATATGCAATAATAGTAGAAACCGTTTCAGGCGTGCAGACATCTTTGGAGGTAGCCTCACTGGAATCAGAAGGTATCACAGCAACGCTCTTACTGTGCCAGCTTCTGTCTGCAAATATCAGAAATGTTAATTAATCTTTGAATGAATGTAACCATAAGATTATTCATACTGTTTAAGCAAACCTTTTTCAGGTGTAAAATCCAAGTCAGTGAAACTGGGCTGTGGGGAACCTGGAGGTCTGAGCTGAACCTGATCCGCTGGAGGAGGAGACGTCAGCTCCTCACGCTCATCCATGACAGAACTAATAATGAAAAACAACAACATAAAGAGTAAATCTATCAAAAGCTCTTTTACACAGTAAAATTAAGAGGCATTGTTTTCCCAAATATAGATAAAAAAAATGAACAAAAAATAGCATACATTTTCTACAAGTTGTATCAATAGTCAAATCCTGCTTTGATATTGATAAAAAGTGAATAAAACATAAGTAATTATGACACATTTCTAACTTTATTGATCTTTTGTCTTATGATGAAAGAAAAAACTTTGCTTTGTTCTCTTAAGGTACTTTATATTATAAAATTCTATAGTTTTATTATATACCAGACACTGAAAAATAGGGAGAAATTAGATAAAACAGACAATTAGTCATTGATGTTATTGTACAGAAAGGCAGTCATATGGAGATAAAATGATCAATAATGCTAATAGGGTTCTGATATCCAGAATATTTTCCAGCTTATGTCTTTATGGCCAGATTTGGTGGAAGCATCCGTGTTCTGGATAATCTGCATCTAAATAGACCTGCTGTCTTACCAGGGCTGGTTTGGAAACCTCCTGTACTTACGGAGAGGTTTCTTCTTGTTGCACTTTAAGATCAGGACCAGTGATGGGAGTGTTGGCAGATCCAGGGTAGCCAGTATCGATGCTGCTTTCTCTCTCAGTCTTTCTTTCCACATCCGAATGCAGCACAGGGAGAACAGTCCATTGCATTTCAGGGACGTGGCAGTAGGAAGTGTACTGCTCAGTTTGGGGTGAAGTCGTATACCTGTGCTCCAGCAAACCTAAAGAGGTAAGGATAGCAGGTGCTGTTGCTTTCACACGAATCACAACTCCCTCATCCGGTTTGCCTGAAGAGTCATTCTTCTTTTTATTGTGATGTCCTAACAGGATCCTTCTATCAGCCCAGCGTACCATCCACTCCAGCAGCCTGCCCAGTTCTGGAAACCGGGCCTCTAACTCAGGATCCAGGCCCTGCTGTAAGTCAGTGACAGTTTCCACGGATGATAAAAAGCCAGGTTTAAGGCTCTCTGCGGGGTGTTCTACAGTAGAGGAAAGATTTGCTTTCTTTACTCTTGATGATGAGATATCACTCTGTTGCCTGAGGCCAAACAAACCTCTATGTTTCTCAGTTCTCTGCCCGAGATGAAGGCTGACAGGAATGCTGTCCCTGGAAATGGGATCTTCACTCCAAACTGAAGAAGTCTGTGCTTCGGTTATCGGGTTTTGTTTATGTTTATAACAACAGCCTGCTCTAAAAACAGACGAGGGCTTCCCTGAGTGCTTTGTCTCTAGGAGGTGCCCACCTCTTTGACGACGATGCACAGTAGAGACTACATCGAAAGTTAATGAATGCAACTCCTTCTCCCTTAGCTGATAGCTGAAGCCTTTCAACAAAGGTAGCTCATCTCCACAGTCCATAGCATCCGTAGTATCCTTCTCTAGCACATAGCTAAGGAAGAGCTCCAAGAAATTTAGGTACTCATCATCTTCCAGCTCAAACTCCCAGGAGCCGACCACTGGTAGAGAAAGCTGCTCCTTGTCTCTCGCTGTAATGTTGGGGTTCCCTTTAAGGTCACTTTCCAAATCAGGTTCAATCTTCTTGTCATTTTTATTTGATTTCTTTTTCCTAAAAAAAATGAATAGATAAATCAGGACACAAACAAATAATAATAGCAGTTTATCTTTCTTGTTCACTTCTCTTACCTGCTCTTGTGCCGTTCAGGGGAGATGGCCTCAGGTGTGTTCGCTGCAGTGTCTGCATCGCTGCACACTGGCTGGAACCCACCATCGGTTAAGCTGCTGGTGCTCACAGTAGTAGCCAAGGACAGCTGCCCCAAAGTGGCCATGTCATTTCTCCCCCCCCTTTCCTCCTCTTCATCTGCTTTTGTCCACAGATGTAGCACAGGCGGGGCCAAATGCCTCTGCAATCGCCCAAAATGTTTCCTCCTGTGTCTCTTTCTGTCTTGAACAAAAATCATCATCAACTTGTTCCCATCTTCCCCCCCTTCTTCTGTAAAACATAAAAATTGGGAATCATACTGTTATAATTCCATGCTAAAAGGAATGCAATTTTATGAATTTTCATGTTTTCATTTGCTTTTTTTAGTAGTTCTAGTTTTGGAATGACAAGGTTACTTTTTATGAGCATTGTCTGGTTAAATCTGTCTAATATTTAAAATTTGCCAACACTCAAAAATGCAAGCATACGTACCAAGGTTGCACTGGCCCAGTCTCTGCAGCAGTAAGTTATATTTCTCTCTTAAAGACACTCTGACAGAATCTTCCTCCTGGGGGAAGACTCGAACCAGCGTCTCCGCCACCTACAAAGCAGAGGAGCCAAGAATGAAAATTCCTCAAACTCAAAATCTGCTCCTTTCACCAAACCATGTACCAGCTTTAAAATGAATTACCAAGGGCACAGGGGGAAGTTCAGACAGTAGACTGAGGAGTATGTCCTGAAGGACCTCCTCACCACCGAGGAAGTGGATGAAAGGCAGAAGACGACAAGCCCACAGAAGAGCATTAACATTGGCTGAATTCACCTGGGAATCCTCTGGGATCTAAGAGCGAAAACTTCCATTAGCGGGAAGGAAGATCCAACCAGGATAAACCATACGCAAGGTTATAAAATACCGCTTCTTGTCTGGCAGCCTGATACTTCCTGCATAGAAGGGAGAGCTGATCCCTGACATGGAGCATCCAGCATAAAGCACAAAGCTCTCTGAAACAAACTTACAGAAAAAAGAAAATTAAGATAACATCAAGTGGTTCCCATCCTATTCACACCTCACAGTTGGCATATTACTGATGGTTTGGATGGTGTCAGGGTCCAGGTGGTCGTCTTTTTTAGGGTCCCGTCTAAAGTATCCAGAACGGCCGATCAACTTTAATAGTCCCTCAGGGAAAGTATTTTCCTCCTCAGCAGCTGATGGATAGGAATACTTCTTTTTAATCTGCAGAAATGTTCAGATATTTGAAAAATTTAGTTAAACAAACACGTTAAAAAAAAGTTTACTTATACATTATGGTAATACTTCTGGTAATATTTGTTAAGATTTGTCCTAAATGTATGAGTTTTTTTTTATTTATTATAAATTTCCTTTATCTATCTTAAATAAATGTTAAAAAAATATATCACACAAATCATTTGATGAGCCTTAATTATGTTTAATAATGTATTTTATGAATTAAATGTAATACTACGCAGACCTTGTGAAGGATGTGTCTGGCACGCCGCAGACGACTGATGTACCACTGTGCAGCAGGACGGCAACAATGAGCAGATCTCAGAAGAAGGAGCAATCTTTGGAGAACTCCGGAGACTTTGTGACGACAAACAACTTCAGCAAATTCTTCAGGGCCGCAACTTTGGTCCTAAGAATTAAAAAAAACGTATCTGAGGTTTTTACATTCCTTCAAAAGGTCTTATAGCCAACCCTGTTAAAATGTTTCACTTTTTTTCACAACAGAAAATCAGAATCTATTTTAAAGGGATATTATTCTATATACTAATGAATCGAGGGAAAACCGCAACAATGTTGAACTTCTTAATCTCTGATTCATATGCAATTAAATCTCACTATAAGTACAGTTGTTTTGTGTTGTTGCCTGAACACAAGTGAGCAAATATTGTCATGAAGACTAATGAGCACCAGAGACAGGTCCAAGATAAAGTTAAAAAGACGTTGCCATCATAGAAGGTCTTATAAAGGCTCTATTATTATAGAGGATGAATACCAAGATTTAATTTATTTTTTTTTATCTAGTTTTGACTTCTGATTCTCAGTTCTATTTTAGTTTCAATTATTTTTTTTGTATTTGTTAGCCAGGTAAAAAAAAATTGTTGTAAAATACTTAGTTCAGTTTGGTTTATATTGGTTTTAGTTACGGTTGTAGTAATTTATTTGCAACAGACATACCAGGGACAAGACAAAAAAAAAAAAAATGTGATTAAAATCCCTGATGAGGAAGGACAGTGCGCTGCAGCAACAAAAATGACCTGACTGCCATACCTGCATCCACTGGTTTAATGCGGTACAGCAACAGCAGCTGACTTAGACAAACTTTATTGTCATTTTGTGCACACTGTGTGTACAAAATGACAGTAAATTTTGTCTAAGTCAGCTGCTGTTGCTGAATACTAGACCTCATATTAATGCATTACGATAAAGACACAAACGAAATCTAAGCACATTCTCTCAAAATTCAGCTAGTTTTAATAAATTTTCATAGTTTTATTACAGTTTTAGTTCATTTTTAGGTTGTTGTTTTTTTTGCAAGGTCTAGTTTTTTTTTTTTTTGCAGTTAGGGAAAATGTAAAAAAAAAAAAAATGTAAACGTAAATCCCTTTATTGTCCCATAATCAGAAAATTAACTCTGAATTTAACCCATCCCATTGGGGAGCAGTGGGCTACCACTGTGTGGTGCCCAGGGAGCAGTGTGGGGTTAAGGGTCTTGCTCAGAGACCCAGAGTGCAGGCTGTGGGGATTGAACCAAGTACTTGCAACCTTCTCAGAGCACAAGCGCACTGCTCTAACCACTAGGTAACACTCCCCAGAATCCATTATTTTAATTGCAGTTTTCATGATTTCATTAGTTTAGTCAATGATAATAACCTTGATGAATACCTGAATACTTGGAAGCACTTAAAATGTACTGAAAGTGGAAGTAGATCTTTTCAGAACTATACCTGTGTGTTTAGAGAAGGCTGTGGGCAATACAGAGGAGGCGCAGGCAGGTACACTTCAGCGGGTACCAGTGTGGGCAGGAACGAGCACAGTTCTTTAGCTTTGTCCAACAACGTTGACAAAGGAAACGACATGACATTCACTCCTGCCATGGCTGAAGCTTTCAGGATTTCATGCACAGAAGCCTGTAACAACTCCCAATCTTCTCCTTCCGAAGGATCTGAGAAAGTGAGGAAAAAAATACTGATGTAAGCTATAAACTTTTAGCCAGATGGAGATTTTCATCTTATGAGTTACTCACTGACCTGTAAAGCATTCGTTCCCGTTTTTAAAAGTCTTCTCTGAATCTGTTTTACTGCCAAGAAGACTCTTCAGCTCAGCCTGAAAAATGCTTTCTGGCTGTAACTCTGATGGTAGGAGGAAATCTCTCCTTCTAATCCTATCATGATGAGAAAGACGGGAAGTATTTAGAGAGAACTGACAGATTCAGATGTAGAGTTGCTTGTTTGGTGATTTAAACTTACTGAGTAAAGTCAAAATTCCTTGAACAGTAACTGGTGTAGGCCAGGCTTAGAGTCACTGCAGTTTTCCAGTCACCCAGATGAGATGCCAACCACACAGCCTCAGGCAGGAGACCCCCCAAAAGCAGCAAGTCCTGGGCATAGTCCACTGTCCACACCTCTGACAGGTGTTGCTGTCGAACTGCTTTGGCTACTTCTTCTTGGGACAAAGGCACCAAACGGCCGATATTTGAGGCTGAAAGAGAATCTCTGTATCACAACCAAAACTTTCATGAAGAAATCATCTACTAAGCAACTAAGACACTTTAAGAAACACACCGTGAGGTAGGTGCAGAGGAGGCAGGATGGACACATTGTGAGCAGGCAGAATGAAGAGAGGCTGGTTGGTGAAGTAAGAGGCCATGAATCTTCCGAGGGCCTGAATTACAGCAAGGGCGGCATCACTGGGAAGATCCATGGGCAGCCATGGGTAAGGAAGATGATCTGTTAAAATACAAGAAAGAAAGAAAAAAAGCCGTAACTTAGACTTTTTGGTGCACGATGGTCTGAGTATAACCAGCAAAGCTAACTCCAGTCCACAGAGCATACACATAACTAAAAACCTGCTTCGTATAGAATCCAAAAGGAAGTAGCTACTCATCATGATCAAACTATTTTTTTTCATCCAGCGTTTTTATTGTTATTACACTGTCACAAGTACAGAGCACCAAAATGAATTTGCGGCATTTGACCCATCCCCTTAGGGAGCAATGGACTGCCATTGTGCGGCGCCCTTGGAGTAGTGTGGGGTTAAGGGTATTGGTTAAGTGGCAATCCGTGGGAGTGGGGTTTGAACTCAGAACCTCAGAATACTAAGCACAATGCCCTAATCACTAGGTCACAACTACCCTATCGTAAGGACAGCTTTCTTAATTATATCAAAAACCTAAGAAGATTTACATGCGTATATCGAAAACAGTAATATCAAACAATAAAATATTTGGCCAGTTTTTATACAGATACTGTTTTTCAGTCAAGTTACTTATTTTAAGAACTAACTTTCAGGATGATGCAGGACCAGCAGGTTCTGTAACAGTTTTTTCGCTGCTTCCATAACACTGTTGAAAATTCTAATCAAGTCACATATAGAGACTTTGCATCACACTGTAAAACCTGTACTTACACTACATTGTGAATCTACAAAATAGAACTCAATTCAGTGCTTCTGCATTTTGCACCATATCTATTTATTTATTTTTGCACTGCTCTGAACAAGTCTAAGTCTTGTCGAAAAGAAGCAGATTTTATCAGCTAATCCAATAACCAACCAGGGCTGACCTGAACTGCAAGTCAAACTTTCAGTCTGGTTTCCAGCTCTGAGCAGAAGTAGTTGAGCCATGTAGTCCCCCAACTCCTGGGCTTCTCTCAGGTGATACTGGGATAACAGACTATATAGGAGCGCCAGACAAAGCCGCATCTCCTGGAACACACTACGCTTCCCGCCTGAGAGAGAGACATGTGACAGTCACTTTGATCTTAGGATAACTTTAGAGAAGATGTTTAAAGCAAAAAAACTGAAGCTGTAGCGCTTACCTTTGTTTGCCTCCTCACAGATTTGTAATTGTAACATCTGTGTACTTTGTGCGTACAAACCGCAAAGGAAAAGGTCCTCGCCTACAAGAAAAAAAGGGTCTTTTAAGGCTTAACAACAATATTTCAATCCAAAACATTGTATTTTGCCCTAATGCTAATCTAGATATGTTTTGTATATTTTACAAAAATTCTACGGAGCCTTGAAAAAGTATTCATACCTTTTAACTTGCACATGCTGTTTTCATGTTACAAGAACAAATTTCAATATATCTTATTGGGATCTTTCCCTTTTCTAGCCTCAGGCCAGAAGAAAGCCTGTAAGAGGCTTTCAGAACTCTTCTAACAGAAGATCAAAAATAAAGACAGAGTCAGAGCGCCAATGCTATGACTTAAAAAAGAAAATACCATATTCATGTTATACTTTGAACGATTTGAAAATTGATGCTTACTGGCAGCTTTTATCCTGTTTGACTGAGCTTGAGCTGTTTTTGCTGGTGTAAGAGGAAAGGCTAAGTAAAATTATTTAAAAACATTTTATTTTCCTTCCACTTCACCTTTCTGCACTACTGTAAGCATGTTAACTGGCTATATCCCAAAAAAAATTAACTTAAATAGTGCAAAGGTCATAAACTCAATTAAAATCAAACTTAAATCTTCTTTGGTCAGACCTTGGTAACTCAGCAGCAAACGCCCGTCTTCCAGGTTTTCTCCTGTTGCCTGCAGAGCTGTCTGGATCTGGGATGTGATGGCAGACAGTTTTTGCTCCTCTTCCTCCTTGCCATCGCAGCCTTTAAGCTTCTTCAGTTCCTCTGTATATCGCTGAGTAACATCATAAATTAGCTGCCAGACTCCAAGCAATCTGTCCATAAAGAAAATGGAAGCACAGCTGTCAGGTTTAGAAGCACATATAAAACGGACATAATCTATTAGTTGGTTTTCTAGAGCTAGCTCAACATCATAAGCTGTGCATACCTGCTTGAAGGTTGCCGAGGAACAGGTATCAGCTGATGTTTAAAAGCAGGTGTGTCTTTATTCACAGCCTGCAGCAGGGGTACATGGTAAACATCTGAAGACCAGAGATATGGCTGGGAAGAGGAAAACTCCTCAGGAGACCAATACGTTTTCTGCTCTAAGCTGTAAGTGCAGTCAAGAGAATCGGAGACTAAGTGCATGATTTGAATTATCCTGGATAAACTTTGAGATGATAAAAGGTAGTTCTCAGTCAGGTGGGCTTCAGGCTGAGGGGTGAAAAGAAGACGCACTATCCTTTCAGTAAACCCCACCATTAGCCCCAAGCAGTGCTGTCCATCTGAGGAAAGGCTGTCCCAGGACAGGAAAGACAGCAGAGCTTTAATGAGGTGGAGCAAGCGTGTAGAAACCGGGGTATCCCTTGCTCGTATGGGGGCCAGGTGGAGTAAAGCTGCAAACCAAACCACACAGTAAAGCGTACGCTTCAGAAGATGAACTCTGTGTTCAACTTCATCCCCCAATGACATGGCAAAAGCCCAAGCAGTGAGCAGCTTCCTCTGAATCTTCGCCATCTCAGAATAAAGAGGGTTCTTCTTTTCTGTTTGTCTCTTCTTGCTGTTTGTATCAACAACAGATTCACTGTAAGTGTCCATTGCATGGAGAGTGTCAAACATTGAGGCAAACTCTAAACGGCCTCCTTCCTGCAAACGAGAACCAACAGGAAGTCCTTCCAAATCAGAGTCCTCTTCAAAGAAAGTCTAGAAAAACAACACAAACAGCTAATTAATACAGCCACCATATCAACACAGAACTTTCTTCCATTACTCCCACATAGATTTAAAAATGAAAATGTTGATGTCAAGCTTTATTTGTAAGACCTGCATGCTTTCAAGGAGCTCCTTGGTACCACCCAGTGTCTGCTGGTCCTGCAGGAACAGCGGCAGCCTGGTTTGATCTGTCGCAGCTGAAATGGTGGAGTCTGACACTTTAAGCCGACATGTGACAGACGGACTGAGCTCCTCAAGGCTGCTGTCTGAATTAAAGCAAGACATAGACTCCAGCCAAGCCTTCACATGAACCTACAAACAGAAAGAAAAAAAAAGTAAAAGCTAGCAAAACTCAAGGATATTTAAAAAAAAAACATTCCACCTCTTAAAGACAATCTGCTGCGAATCACCTGGGATTTTTCTAATTTGCTGCTTGCTTTTTCCAGATCCTTGCCAGCTTCTTTTAGAAGAGCATTCAGGAAGAGTGCTGCTGAAAGTCTGCCCTGCACCTTCATAACTGTGGCCATGTAGCCGTCAGACACAATGAGATATAGCAGTCGGGGGTGCCAGGTGACAGAAAACCGCTGCCTCATTAGATCACGTAGAGACAAGCTGGAGCTGGAAAGAGAGGCCTCTCCATTCTCTCCAGAGAGTGGTGGTCTATAGGGAAAAACAAAGCCATCATACACTATGCATAGGATCATAATTCATCCATGCTTTATTTGGTATTGAATGGTATGTATGAGATAATAAAAATTACTATAGCAAAATCAAACATGTTTTTCTTTTTTATTTAGCAAATTAATAATTTCAAATGTGTTGGATATGTGTATCTCTTCAAATTTAAGTCATTATGTGGGGGAAAAAAGGATTGCAAAAATCAGTAACCTTATATATTTATTCTACATTTAAAACAGATTTGCAGACCCTACCTTCATATTAAAAGCTCTGTATAATTTGATTTCAACTGCACAAACAGTAAACATTATGGTCTCAAAGAACTACAGTAAAGTTTTTTTTATGATATGAAAATTATTATTGCGTTTAAATACATTTTAAAAGAAGTAAAATAATTTAACAACAAAAAAGCTTAAATTTTAAGTCCACCTGTAGGTGACCAGCGGATGCAGGGGCAGGAAGTGCGCAGGACCAAAATCAACATTGCAACCAGAACTTGTCAGGGTGAGAAGCCCACCAAGGCGAGCCAGCATCAGGAGGGAGCCCCTCTTCAAGACACAGGCAAGGAAAAGGCCTCCTGCTGACCAGCTGATGCTACTCACCCAGTACGACCTGAAAGGTTTAGAAAAAACACAAACACTCCATAAACTTACTTAGAAAATGAAAAATAATGGTCTTGGTCTGATGGATTGTGACAAAATTGTGGTTTCAAGTACTTACATTTTTAATAAAAATCTCTACGACATAATTGTGCATACAGACCTAACATATTTTGATGGGATATCCATTTTCTTGCTTCCACATCCTCCCAGGTCGCTTGATATTGAAACAAAGTTCTGCATGCTCACAAAAAGGACCTGTGTGTCCTGCATTCACAAACAGAGAATGCATGTTTTTTGGAGCTTTTAATTTTAATGCAAATGAGAAACAACCCTTAAGTCAAAAATTTATTAGAAAGGCCTGATTCTAACCTTTGGCTTCCTCTGGTTCAGTACAATGGCTAACAGGCGTCCATCAGGAGAAAAGGCTAGCACTAAGGCTCCTCTGGACTTTACTGGCTGGCAGGGTGGGTACAGATGAGACATGGGGTATGTTTTGGAAGCCCACTGTATGGTGTAACCAACAGAACTACAAAGAAAAAGGTGTACATCTATTTAAAACAGAAACAAAAACATGGAAAGGGTCCGTGCCGTTGTAATAAAAGAGTTTACTTACCCCATCCTCACACTGCCTTGGCTCCACTGAATTTTTAGAATGGTGACAACAAGCTGCTTCCCAGAGATGAAAATAAATGCTGATAAGCAAATGTCCATCATAACCTGACAGAAAGTTAACAAAACAGATTATGTAAGGCTAGTTAAAAATAAGAGTGGGCATCAAAGCTGTATCATAGGCTGAAATAAGATATAAAGATATTTAATACATAATGCGGACCTCTGTTTTTAAAAAGATGGTCTGCTGGGATGCTTCTTTATCTTTTGAAGAAGGCAAAATCGTCTCTTTAAGTGGCAGTAAATTAGTCCACTGCCCTTTAACAGGTCCGTCCCGCAGGCCTGGAAAATCCTTCCTCTCTGTGCACTCCCACAGGAACACCTGCCCAGTTATCGTAGTCAGAAGCACTCTCGTCCCATCGCATGAAACCTGTAGGCACAACTTTAGAAAATTTCCTGTAAAACAAAATCAAAAGCAGCTTAAATTGTATTACCAAGAAGATTGGTATAATGTAGATGCCTAAAAAAAAAAAAACAAATACATAAATTAATAAAACACCAACCTAAAATATGGTGCTGATAATTTACTTAAGACAGACGTTACAAAAACATTGCTTAGGTAAATAATCTATCTGCTGAATTTAACCACAGGTAGAAGGAAAACACAACAAATTTCTCAATCTTTTTTAGAAATGGAAATATATAAGGAATGGGACATATTCATTTCCCCCAAATGCCTACAAATGAGACCAACATATCATTCAATTTTAGACAATGAAGATCAAACAATTGTTTTCAGAAATTTTACATTTTTCTGGCTAAAATGCAGAACAAACCTTGAGCAGAGTTGATCATCTGAATCACTTCAGGCACTGCTGTTGCAGTCTTCAGTAAATCTTTATCCCTGTTCCACAAAAATAACTCTCCGGACACCAAAACTCCACACAACCACATCCCTGGAAAAATAGAAATCAACACTCAAGAATAATCCGAATTAGACAGATTAGTGTGTGTTTAATAGATTACGCCTACCATTGTGAGATGGAGTCATTTTCACCACACTGCTAAGCAGAGGATGGAGTTTAGGCATCTTTTTCTTGGTGCGACCAGACACCATGTTGATCTCACTGATCCGTTTGTCATCCAACAGAAAAACTGACTCCTTTTCCTGAGGAGTAAAGTCACAGGCCTGGGTATTAAATCAGATTAAATTATTATTATTATTATTTTCTCTCAACAGAAATCTTCATCACCTGCCCCAGCCAGCAGAATCGCGGCCATGGTTTCTTCCGTTTGATGCTAGATGACACAACAACCTCCAGCTTCAGCTCCATCTTTTAACATCTCTTCCTTCTGATTATACTATTAAAAAAATGAAGAATTGAAACCCACGAATAGTAAACCAACATTGAAAAATCGACCGAAAACAAAGCATAAAAGTGTTAAATGTGTTCCTAAATGGGTAATAGATTTAAAGTTTGCGTCGTTGAAAAGGAAAATCCAAATATAACAGAAAAAAACATTCACCGTTAGCTACCTAGCCTGATATGTTAGTGCTCTGTGTTGGCTAATTTTTTACTACCAAACACCCTGACATTTTTAACTAAAGCGGTTTTACTCACCGGTTATACTAATGAGACGATGGTTAGTGTTTTAACGTTGCGGTTTTATTACATTATATAACGAAGATATTTCAGAAATGTTTCGAAAATCCCTCCGCTTCAAAAGCAGGATTGCTTCCCATGATCCTCTAGAAGGAAGCTAATATCCGTTACCGTGGAAACCTAACCGGATGTAGCTCAGTCCTTGTGAAAAAAAACAAGCGGAGGAGGCGGGGGAACCAAAAGATAAGTTCCGCTTCATTCATTCACGAAGGTTTCCCAATCTCCACACCACTTATCAGTTGGTGGCGATAATGCTCACCTTATATTTTTGCCAACCGCCATAAAAATTTTCAACAAGAAGAAAAAAGAATGTTAGACCACATCGTATGGATTGAACATAAAATCAGCTGTTTGTTGTCTTCAGAGAAGATATAAACCAATCCATTGGCGATTCTAGAGCCAGTGGATTGCAGAAAAACAAAACAATAAACAGGGCAATAGTTTATCATTTAAAATAAATCAACTGAGCCGCAGAACTAGGAGCTACTTGTGGCTCAAATTGAGTGAGCTTTAATTTTTTATGTCATTCAAATAAAATTGTATGTTTTTCCAAATAAAAGCTTGAATTTTTGGCTGAAAATTTTAAATTTTTACTTTATGTAAATAAAAAAAAAAAAATCCCTTACAGAGGGTAACTGTAGTGATATGCTGCTGAATAAATATCTATTAAAATATATGATAAAGCTTTTCTTTGGAATATTATATCAATGTACATTCATAATTGATGGACTATAACACATGTATTTGACTTACTTTAAATGATCAGTTTTAATCAAATTTGAATTAGAACTTAAGAAAAGCAGATACATTCAGCTACAACAAATCATTTTTATTGGTTTAAAATAACATTTAGAAGATGAAAATCTCTTAATATGACTGACGCTATTACCATCACTTTTAAACCATGATTAAAACAGAACTGTAAAGAAAACCATTAAATGAGACCTATCATTCACTATGTCTGCTCCATCATTAGAATTTTATTTGATCAATTATTACTATGTCTTCATTACCTGGGTAGTAAAAGGCCGCTGCCTAGGACACCCTATGGTTAAATCCATATGTTCTCTATACAAATCATACCTAAAGAGACTCCAAGATGCAGAGCAATAATTTGATGTCAGCTTCAATCAGAGACACTTGTTTTTTAAAATTCTCAGTTAGATGATTGAAAAAAGCTACTGTTAAGAAAAATGTGTTTGGGATCTTTTTACCAGTATATTGCTATATATTACATATATTATTATACATGTTTTACGTCTATATAAGTTATTGTATTCTGGTGGATAATGTACCAAAACATATTGCTAAAATCAAATCCAATATGAAAGTTTTAGTTTTAACTTTAATGTATATGATTATAACAGTCAAAAGCATTTGCTTTTTCAGAAATTGTTTAGGCACAATTTTTTTTCCTCTTTGCAGTTATACAAATGCCTATTCAGGGGTCACCACAGCAAGTCGGTACAACTTGCACTCAAATTTTGAAAATGTTTCATGAATGCTTCCTGATGCAACTGGAGTTTATTCTTTTGCCTGCAGAGGGAAGCCTTCTACCATAAAAACTATTTTCAAGAGGAAGAAAAGGCCAATTTAGAACAGATACTTCATTAGAAACCTTTGTGTATTTTTGGCCTTTGCTTATTGCTAACTTCTTTGAGTGAGGTCATTTTTTTTTAAATAAATGTATTGCTCTATATGCCATTCGTGTGTGAGATATGACTATCATCAAATCTGTGTAATTCAGAACAGAGTACTCACTCATTCTTCCACTGTGAGAATTCAATGCGTATCGCCAGCAAGTAAGGAAAAAAAATCCACAACAGAAGAAAAAAAAAAGCGCAGTTCTTGAAAATGGCAAACCCAAAATGGCAAGGACTAAAGATAATATTCCCTAGAGCATCTAGGGTGTAGTAGTCTTTAACTGAAGAAGTTCTCCAGTTCCACAACATGGGATAAGAGACACTGTTAAATAGTGATGTTATTTTTTACTAAAGTCCCTCTGACCCCCAACGTCCAGGGGGCATCCCAGGACTGAGCTGCCATGCTTCAAGTTATGTGGATATTTAAGCAATACGGTCTATTGTTGGCTTATTAAAAAGAGTTATTAGGTTTCCCCTCAGGACCACTGCTGGTATTTAATTACCCCTACACCCTCTTAATTTCATTATGATGGAGATGACAACTGCCACTGCCAATAGGTGGAAGTGGGGACTTTGTCCAAACTTTATTTGGGTATTTTGCCTCTTCTTGACAACTACAGGTGGAGCTCTTAATTTAGATCACTTGTAGGTTCATTCCTCTCAGATGAAGAGGATCTAAAGAGGGAGAGTTTGCCCATCTGCAAGGACATGATGACACCAGCTTGACAAAGGCTAGCAACATAGAGGCAAGATCTTTTTTCACTAATTTTAACCTGTGAATTCTTTGGTATTTGGAGACACATCCTTAAACCAGATTTTTAACTTAAAAAGTCAAAAGACTTCCCAAATATTGGAGAATTTACAAATGAGAATTATGTAAGTACTGTAGGTGCTAGAACATTAGTCTCATGCTTGCTCCTTTAACCCACGGTAAGAATGGACTCCTCTTACTTGCAATTTAACAACTTGAAATTAATTTGAGAGTTATCCCCCATCTTCATCTTCCCCATTCAATATGTCGATGTGAGAACATCAGTTGGCATGGTAACCATACTTGCCATCTGCAGACCTCATTCATACTGAAAAATGACACTCGGGGAGCTGTCAAGAGACAGTTCAGTATTCCTCGGCAACAGCGGGTCAGAGTCTGTCTGCAGTAAATCTCAGTCCTTTGGACTGTTTTCAGCCGTCTTTTCTTTGAAGATGACAAACTGTCGTTTTTGAAGGATTTGATTTGTACCTAGTATGGTTGCATTTATACATTTCCTACCTCTTTGGGAAAATACATTCATCCGCCAAGTGCAGAGAATTAGATTTGTGGCATGGGCAAACATTTTTTCTTTTGATTAAAGAATGCTGAAAAGTTATGGAACATAAATGTACCTGTTTTCAGGAATCTGTGAAAAAAAGCCTTTTTCTTGTTGATAATGGAATTTCAACCATGTTACAAGCTGCTTCAGCTCTTTTTAAATCAACTAGCCTATGCAAAATGAAATAACATGTCATCAAGGAAATTGAAGAAATGACACATATCTTGCTTTTCTGATAGCTGGGTTAGAAATCCAATTGTATTAAAACTGGTAACCACTTTTTCTTAACAGCTGTCAAAAGAGCAGCGTGTCTACCCATGTTCCTGATGCATTAATCTCTCTACCAAGCAATAAAAGGCAAAGCATCCAACTCAGAAATATTGGCCTTTTTCTTTCAGAGGAGATGGAGCTGCACTTGACTCATGGAGAAACAGTTACAATGCTTCGACTTATCATAATGGCCCAGTAGCTGCTAATGACATTAATGACTCCATTATAATCACGCGTTGCAGTGAGACAGGAGACCGTAACATTGAGTCGACATATACCAGCCATGAACAAAATCAAGTCCCTAAAGCTAAAGCATCAAACTGGAATTCTGTCATTCTTTTATCCGTTTAGGTTTTATGACTAGGCCATATTTATCCACATGGAAAAGCCCATTATATAAGCTAATTTACATACCTGGAGATTAAGAATGGATATAATAACCCATGTGAAATGCAGACATATTATGCTTTAGTGGTACCACTATATTTACTGCATGGTTATTTTGGCAACTGTTATGAAAAAAAACTTCAGAGAACCCAATATTCAGCCAGCCAGTATTGCATTTGAAACGTTTATTTTAAATATATGATGATGGTAATCAGGAATGCAGGCAGACAGACTGATAGGGAGCTTTGAGTAGACGGATAATGGCTAACTGCTTAGAGGGAGGCTTTGAGCATGTGGAAGGAGACTGAAACGAACTTTGGGCAGACCGGAAACAGGTTGAACAAATTGGTGAGAGGCAGAAACAGTCCAGGGCGTCACCAGAGTCAGAAGCCAAAGAGGACATGCAGGACAGAGAAACACAAAAAGGCAGGTAACGCACACTAACACTGGAGCGTTTCTCATACAGGTTTGGAGGAGGCAATCTGGAGAAGACTGACAGAGAGAGGCAGCTATTAATAAATATGATAACAGCTGCGAGGAATGAGGAGGATTAGGAGAGAGGCAGGTGCATCTGCTTACTCGGATATAGATTGAAGCAGAGAGTGGTAAACAGTCGGCCTGCTAAAAACAAAAACAAAAAAAACAAGTGTTTCATTGTCTTCTTGTGCTTCAGAAAAACAATGAATTATTCTTTATAAAAATTTCTATTCTTTAGTAGAATAAAACCAAGGCACGAGATGCACCATTTTTCTTCCTTTGGCACCTTCTTTTTCTTCCCTTTTGAGCTGATGTAACAAGTAAATTTCCCCACCGTGAGATAAATAAAGTCGATCAATCGATCTGTGAGTTGGACAAAAACAAGAAGCGCTATATAACAGTATTTAGGTGCATACAATACATTTGCAATTTAAAAGTTTTGCCCATAGCCTCACTGAGGTTTTCTACCTGCTCAGCTATAGAGTGATACATGGATAGTTAACACGTGTTTAGAGCATCTACTCTTATGGCAGGAAGGTCATGGGTTTAAATCTCAGCCTGGGATCCTTCTGTCTGAAATTTGCATGTTCACCCTGTGCATGTGTCAGACATGGGCAATGTGGAGTCAACAAGTCATCTCCATGTCATGTATTTAACCTACCCAGCCAATTAACCAGGTAAGTCCAATCTGCACAGGTTAATTCACGGTGAAGATTGGACTCACCTGCTTCAGTGGCTGGGTAGAACAAATACATGACATGGAGATGACTTGTTGACTCCACATTGCCCATGTCTGGCATGTGCTCAATCAGGGTACTCCACTTTTAAACCAAGCATATCTAAAACATGCATATGTCATGAATAGATGTGCATGGAATGTATCTTTATTTTTGCTGTTTGTCTCTGTCGTCCAATTTGATAGGCTAATCATGTGTCCCTGGTGCTCTTCACCTTTCACCCAATGACTGTATGAGAATGGCTCCAGCGCCCCACTAACCCTACATTGATAATCTGGTAGAGAATAAATAAATACAGGGAAATAAACATTTGTGTGTTTTTCTAGATGTAAGTAATCACACCATTGAGGTTATCTGGATAGTAAATGTTTGTCGTGTTACAGTGTCATGTTTGGCTGCTGATAAAGTATCCCTCTGAGGATAATTTGTAATGTGTGGCTTAAGTTTGTAAAATGACAAAATAGGATATGTTGTATAATAATGCTTACACCAGTTTATTCCCAATGTGTGTAATTTCACAGCAGTTTGAAAAATGAAATTGCCTCCTCACGGATTTCCTCTTTCTCAAAACCAAATGAAGCAATTTAAAGCTAACCAAACTGCCAAACTGACCCAACCCTTTGTGAAACTTCAATGCCCCTTAAGCTTTATAACTGTCCTAACCTCTCTGTTCTGTAAAGATTTGTTCAAATTCATCCCCATTGGAAAGGTATTTATTTGTTTTTTGTTTTGTTTTTTTGTAAGAATTGCCTGTTGTTACTGGTTGGTATGCTTTGGATCACTGTTCTGCTGAATGACCCAGGTCTGCTTGAGGGCACAGACTGATGGCTGGGCATGCTCCTTCAGCATTTTCTGGTAAAGAGCTAAATTAATGGTTCCTTTACTTGCAGCAAGTAAAGCAAAGCAGCACCCAACCATTCAGCTGCACATATTCACCCTCAAGCTCTCTCTTGGATGTCTTTTTTCTTGTTGTTGAATAGTGAACATTTACCTCAGTTGGACCAAGTGAGCCTTTTCAGAGCTCTACATTTCTTTTCTGTGCATTTTACTACCTTATGGATGAGTTGTCAATGGGCTCTTTGCATATATTTAAAGTTGAACAAAAGATTTGGTAACAAAGTCTGAAATTAAGAACTGCGACTTTAGTTTCTACATAGGCTTAGGCTGTTTTCATTGTTATATCTCTTTATAAATTAAATCATCATTTAAAAACTGTTTTTTTATATTCATGCTGTTTTTTTAAGAAAGGTAAAAGGTAGGGAAATTCTATAAATCCACATGGTGTTGTAAAACAGTTTGTTTAGTAAGACTATACTGTACAAGAATGTAAGCAGATTCAAAAAAAGTTATAAACCTCTTGAAGATCAGTTTGTAGATATGCAAAACTTTTATACGGAACGTTTTGTAATGCGGAATGTTTATAACCAGCCCTGCAGCCTAGCAGTGTTAAAAAATGCATTTTGATAGGAATATAATGGCAAAAATGGTAAGATAAATATAGAAGCTGCTGCAGAGTTATTTAAGACCATTTTCAGAAGCATCATAGTGGTACACCTGTCCTGCCTTTGTCATGTTTGTTAACATATTTTCATTATAAGTATCAAAATTTTCTCTCTAAGAGACTACTCCCCATCTATCAAAGAGGAGAAAACAACATAATACCATCAATAAAAAATACATAATAAAGGTATTTATCTTTGGAGTTGGTAAATCCTGTATTGTTTCTGTATTTTACAGTATTATATGGATGTATCTTACATCCATCATAGACAACACATTCTACCCTCTGCACCAGACCATAGAGCAGCTGAGCAGCTCTTTTGGTGGAAGACTTTTTCACCCTGTTTGTAAAAAGGAACGCTACCGAAGGTCATTTATCCCTGCTACAATGCAACACTACAATGGCAATAACTTTTGCAATGTATGATGTGCAATTACTATTTGATACCCTGTGCAGTAACCTGTTTGTCTATATTTGACACCCAGTGCAATAACTATATATCCATCCATCCATCCATCCATTTTCTGTCACGATTATCCCAAGCGGGGTCATGAGGGGTGCTGGTGCCGATCTCCAGCTGTCTACGGGCGAGAGGCGGGGTACACCCTGGACAGGTCGCCAGACTATCGCAGGACAACACAGAGATAAAAAGGACAAACAACCATTCACGCACAAATTCACAGCTAAGGAGAATTTAGAGAAGCCAATTAGCCAAACAGTCATGTTTTTGGACTGTGGGAGAAAGCCGGAGTACCCAGAGAGAGCCCACAGATGCTGAGGGAGAACATGCAAACTCAATGCAGAAAGACCGGGCCGGGAATCAAAAAATTCTTGCAGCCAAGCAGCTGTGCTAGCCAGTGCTCCATTGAGAAGCTAACTATCACTATAAAAAATAAATATCCATATATATTACCACCCATGTAAACACCCTATGCAATAACCCTGTATAAAAGTCCTACTTTTATGCACACTGTATATCAAAATAGTTTCTTTTTTTTTTACACTGAAAAAAAATTATGTAACCATGTTAGGTATATACCCAATCATAATTACTTACTTTAACACAATTGTTTCATGATAGCAAGGTAGGACATAAAACAATTGTGTTTAAGTAACTAGATATGATTAAGTAAATGCCAAAAACGGTTGCTTTAATTTTTTTAGTGTATGAGATTGCTGGTTTATTTTTGTTCTTGCAGAACTCATCTAATTTGGGGCTGATTAAGGGCGATGTTATTAGACTTAGACAGATTTTATTTGTCATTTTTTTTGCACAAGTGTAAAACCAAAAGAAATTTCGTTTGGAACAGCTCTATGGACAATTTCACCCTTTTTAAAAGTGCAGCTTTGAAAAAACAGTAATATATATATATATATATATATATATATATATATATATATATATATATATATATATATATAGTAATATAAACATATTATCCAGACCAAGCAAGATACTTGCATGTTAATTACAAGATAATATCAATAAACAACGGCAATTACAACAACAACAAAAAATCTCTATTGAACGTAGGACAGCGTTTTCTCTTCAACGTCACTTTAAGCCCCGCCTCCCCTCTCTTACCATTGGTCGAGGCGTGGGAATATTCTAATCCAGTCCTGATTGATTCGCCCGCAGCCGGTTCCAGCTGCGCGCAGGACCGGTCCTGCTTCTCCAGTCGGCCGCAGCTCTCCGTCCCTCCGCCACGCTGCGATGAAACACAAGTGGCTGCGAGAGAAAGAAAAAAAGGAACCCCAAAAACAAACAATTGAGATTTTCATAAATATTCTTAATTAGTAACAAGCGTCGAGGAAGTACAGCTGATGGAAGCGACTTCTTCCATGGATTTTTCCCCCGAGGTTACAAGCGCTCAAACCAGCGGCGGAGGAAGAACGCCTTCAGAGGAGGACAGGAGCCAATCAGCCGAGGCGAATCAAAGATAAACAAGCCTTATGATAAAGCAAACTCTGTAAGAAACTATACCTTTACATTTACCTTATAATGTTAACGCTTCTAGATTAGTTTTGGAGAATTTATGATATAAAGGTTCCTTTATTCTGCAGCAAAGGTGGAAAAATGAGAGCTTTCCTTAAAAAGGGAAAATTAGAATCTTAATGTGTAATAATTTAATTTTTTTTCATAAAGTTCTATTCAACAATTGAAATAATTGCGCGCAATCTGTCAAACATACATTTTTCCTTCAATGTATCTAATTATCGTGCGCCACTGTTGGGTATATGTGTAATTTATTTCTTTATTCCCCTTATCCATCTTCCCATATGAGCTGACTGATGGCTTTTCTTGCACAGGAAGACGCTTTATTTGTCAGCATCTCAGTGGCAATGCTTTGAAGTATATTATCAGTCACTCAGGGCTGCCTCTGAGGGTTTCTGCCTCCATTGTCTACCAGCCGGAGGTGGGATCATCGCACCTCAGTGCACCCGTGGCAGCCGGGGTTGAAGGTTAGCCTCAGCAGAGGTTCCTGCAGATTATTGGCCAGGTGTGAAATTCAAGCCTATGTGTGTGTGTGTGTGTGTTTCCTGCCTCCTTTGCTTGATCCTTTATTACTCAGAGAGATGGAGTGTCAGAGCACACCACCAGAGGCAGGGAAGAAAAATCCTGCAATTTTGGTGTTTTATTATCTCCCCTTCATCTTTTTGTCTTGGTGTCATGATGAAAAATGTGGTGCGTATTTCCATTTGTATCTGCTTTTTCTTTCTTTCTTTCAAACTTAGCTCCTATTTTAACTTGAATTTAGCATTATAATGTTGAAACTTTACATATTTTTCTTTATTCCCCTATAAGCTTGCAGGTGTCCCCCATAGGGGTATCCCACTGATTCCCCTATCACATTCGGGATGGAATTCTAACTTTGAACAGATAGGAGGAAAAAAAAAATAGAGAGGGGTTATGTTTGCTTCCTCGGGAGCATAAGCTCCAATTTATTGTGAAGTTTCCCCAAGTGTTCTAAATCACTCAAAGGAGGGAACCGCTTGCTGAGAGTGACCTTTTTCTTGGAAGATCATCATCCAGGCAAGGGTGGGGTGCTCTAATTAAAGACGGGCATCTATTACCTCATTTCCAGGGGTCTGTTAAGTGTACAGTGTCATTTCTTGCAACAACTCACACCACTTTATAAATGGGGGGAAAACTGGCCGATAAGAGGAAGAAATTACACATACAGGCAGTCACGTTTGCTTCCATCTTGTGGGATAATGTCAAGTCTGCAGCCTGCTGAACAGTTTCTCCTAATCACCTTTTTATCTGCTAGAGGCTGTCATGTGTAATTACCAGTGCCCTGCCATCTTCTGAAATCTGTCTAATTGCTCCTTGCTTTAATAACAGGATGACGGGCTATGAGATGGGGAGGGGGGTTCTGGGTGCAGGGGTTAAAGACTGGGGGCTCCCTGCTCGCTGAGGAAGGGACAGAACATCTAAGGTCATTAATATTATTTTGCCTTCAAGCTTCTCTCCCCCGTAATTGCTTTAAATTAATGATTATCCTGCTGCCAAATTGCACTGGATGCATCATCATTTGTTCTGAGAGGAAAAGCAGGGGCATGACGACATCGTAATTTGGTTCAGAGATCAAAGCCACTTTTCTTGTTGATGCGCCTACTGTACGCTTGAAAGCTTATCTTTAGGTTCTGCTCCACAGTAAAGCCATGCAGGCAGCACTTTCTCTACAGCTTTTAACAGGTCATCCAACGAGCTGTGGAAAGTGTTCATACCCCATGTAGCAAAAGACTTTTGTTGCATTAAAACCACAAATCAGAGTGTAGATCAACATAAAGTAAACCGTTATTGTTAAAACAAAAAAAAAAAAACATAAATGTCTCATTTTTTCTACATTATTTGTCTTTAAACCCACTTAACTGGTTCCACTAAATAAAATCCGGTGTGACCGCATGCCTTCAGTTGTTGGCAAACAGAGGGCGTAATTTAATCCCAGTATAAATACAGCTGTTCTTTGAAGGCTTCAGAAGCTGGTAAGAGAACATTAATGAAGCATCCTCTTCATGAGGACACAGCAGGAATTTCCAGGGACTGTTATTGAACAATATCCCAAACATTAAGAAGCTGTGGAAGATGTTGAAGGTTGTAAAATTCTTGAGAATGAGCTTGAGGTTCACTTTTCAGCAGAGTGATAGCCCTAAATGTTATCCACAGGAAGCTGTCTGAAATCGAAGCGTGTTCCTTTTAAGAGATGGTCCAGTCGGACACAACAGCGAATCTGTGGTAAGACTTGAAAAGTGGTAGTGGTTCTGCATCCGCTCCATCCAGGGATGTTTACTTTTTTGATGAGCAAAGGAGTGGAGAAATATCCCTGAAATAATTACTGATGTGAAGAAAATGAAATTAGGTCTTAAAACATATTTTCTCTGAGAGATTTAATACAAATCTTTTCAGATAATTCTAAAAACTTTGATTATTTATTTCCACTTAACAACTATGCAGAACTTTGTGTGAAGATCTAACTTAAAATCATGAGAAAGTGTGAGGGGTATGAGCAGAGATTTCATTTTCTCTGTGATACATGTAGAGCAGACATTTTAAGTTTCATTTGTTTGCTCCAAAAAAGAACTTATCCACCCCCCTCATTCGGATCAGCTGTCAGCATGAGGCAAGGTTTTCAAAAGGTTTGGCTGCATACCTCTTTGCTCTTTAACAGTGTGTCTCAGTGTGTATACTGGGCTAGGGATAAGATAAGGCTATGTTTACCCTCTAATGCTACCTTGGCATTGGCCAGACTTTACCTCACGCAGTGTGTTTCTTCTACCTTGGCACTGGCGGTGAGTGAGGGCAGATTTAAGTCAGTCCAAGGCTTTCCACCCGAGGGCTGCTCTCCAAGATAAGGCTCAATTTTGCAGCTTTGGATTCAAAGCCTCTCTTGTTCTCGGCCTCATTTGTTCTCATATTTTTATTACAACTTTTCTTTTTTTTGTAAGGATGGTACAGGGCCATATGCTTAGAGAAAACGTTCACATTTAGATGCGGTTTATAAGATAATTGATTTATTTTTTTAATAATGAACCCTCACCTCCAGTAATAATCTCTATTCCTCTACTTTTCTGGGTGAGTGTCATGGGATTTCCTATTAATAATCCACAACCTCTTGTTTCCCGGAGACATAACTTTTAAAAATAGACACCCAATTCTGTCCTATCTGCTCCTCTAAATGAGGCGAATAACAGAGCACTTTTGTTAATATCAGAGGGGCCAATAGGTGTGTATGTTTATAAGTGAAAATATTAGAGCTGAAAGAATTAATCTGATTAATTGTGATTAATCTTAACTGGAGTATAGAAACTTTAAAACATACCTTTAGCTGACAGAGCAACCACCTCATCATTTAGAAACTATTTAAAAAATGTGGCCTAATGATGTGCACCACAAAGTTGATGCCTGCTAAGCTGATTTAATCACTCAGGGAGGGGGGGCCGATTAAAAAAGGAATAGCCTTGATCTTTTTAAGGGAAGCTACTGTTTATATTGTACTTTCAACAGAGTTTTAAAATTTTAAGCAGGCCTTACACCCTTGTGCAGAGAGACTGCAGGGACTTTGCCGTTATATCATAGCTTTTACCATCAAACTAATGTTTTTGCATTAGTTGGATAGTATAGAGCCAATTAAAGGTTGTCAGTGGAGTATTTGTGCTGTGATTAAGGGTGAATCATTTGCTTCGTTTCATCACAGCTGTGTCTTTGCATGACAGAGTCTGTAATGTAAATGTGTCTGTCTCGCACTCAGTCAGCCATTAATGCTGCATGATTTACATCTAATTGAAAGCTCTGGACATCTGTCAGTATATTGCCCAGAGATAAGCCACATACATTTTGCTCTTGCATTAAAAATGTAAAGGAAAGCCTTTATAATGCTGTACCTTTCACAAGAGCTAATCTTGATGCTAATGAGGCTCATTGTTGGGAGCTGCAGGCCTGGAGCATTCAGCCAAGTGACCCGCAGATTGTTTGGTTATCCGGTATGGGAGCCCTTGTGTTCTGTGTTTTGCCTGCGTAACAAAGAGGACGAGAGGAAAATGGGGGTCTTTCTCATGTGCCGTTCTGATTCCAATTATATAAACTATTAGAGAATTTAACCAGGCCAGCTCTTATCGGTTAATCCAGAAGTAATAGATTCTATTAAAAATGTATGAGGGGATTGGGAATGATCTGTGCATATGCCGAGGGTTGCATTTAGACGGATCCACCAGCTGCTGTCTAATTCTGCCCAAAGTTAAAATTATTTGTCTGGTTGCTATTACTGACAGCTTGCTGCAGCACTTACCTTTACCAAAAGCATATAGACAATTGATCACAAGCTGTGGTTTGGTATTGATGGACTCTAGAGACATTTTTCCTCAACCTCACGAAGGCATTTTAGGCATTTATTTATTCCAAATTCCCTTTTTCTCTTTCCTTCACATCTCATTCATAAGTAGAAGGATGGGAAAACATGAGCAAAACTAATGTGATACAATGAAGAGGATGCTTTTCTTAAACCTTTTCATGGACCTCTATTTATTCAGTGAGGATCCGAAGAACTGCTAACAGAAGACGGGAAAGTCAGGGAAGGAGTGTGTGAATCTGCCCTCTTTTATCTCTGCATTTCATGTTTGCTGAAAGGGAGGCTCTTTGTGCCGTTGGCTTCTATCTTTACTCTGACCTTTGATGCTGCACAAAATCACAAAAGACTGACAGAAGGGCAGACAGATGCTGCTTGTATAATTTAAGGCTCTTGCTAGCTTGTTCTTTTCCCGTTGCTTTGTACAGCCAAACAGGTGAAGCAATGCATAATCCATTTTGGATCTAAAGCAGCGTTAGGTGGTGTGGTTAATCATGCACAGACGGCTTTGCCGTTCTAAGAAATGAAATGCATTGCCTGGACATGAATAGTGGCAGCTCTGGAACTGCAGACATAGATGGGAGGAGAGCTTGCTACAAAGAAAAAAAATAAAACTTTGCCTGCCTAAACATTGTTATCACAACACCACGGGGGACAGTTAGATGGACGACAAAGCACAAGGTCTTTATCTCTCTAGCAGGCCCTCCCTGGACTGCATCCTGCTGCTTATCAGCTGCACGGATAACGACTCAAAGTGGCAAGATTTAAACATAGTTTCAGCCTGAACTTTGTGCTTTTGTCATTCTCTCTAAAATCTTCCCTACGGCTTTAACTGGTAAGACATTATAGTTACCAGAGAAAAAAAGATTTCACTTTATTTTACCCGATTTGTGGGATATGATTTAAACTACATTTGTAGATGCTATTGATAGAAGTCTTGTTTTTCTTAAAAGCCACTGTACTTGTTGCACTGTACTTCTCAGAATACTTTGTTATGCATTTTATGTAGAAAAATCCTCGGCCTCTGTGACTCTGGATTTATCTTAAACTCTTAAAATGTTGAAGCATCTCTGTTGCAATATTTTAACCTTTAACCATGGATAATCTTTGTGCTTTATTAGCTTTTAATTGTTATTTATTTGCTATCTCACTGCTATGCTGATGATATTCAACTCTTTATTCATTTAAAACTCATATGTATTAGTCTTAAGGAACATCAGATATACCAAATAGTCTTAGAATGGTCTCCAGTTGATCAAGGGGATATGTTATTTTAGCTCGAGTGCTTAATTGTAACTATGCATCACCCTCCTTTGCATGTCGGACTCCATGGTAAAACCCTTTCTAGATAACCTACAGCCTTAGTTTGTCTTAAGAGCAGCTAGTAAACATTAGATTACATCACTAAAGCGCTTGTGTAACATCTACACTGATCCTTATAAGCTGACTTCCTGTTTAGGACAGGATGCAGTTTGAGGTCATAGTTTGGATTTAAAAAGTTCTGCATGGAGACACAGGTTTACTTTTCCATTTGTATACTACTCATCCTCCATAGACCGACCCTTGTCCCACTACAGGGATTTATAAAAAGAAAATAAAACAACATCTAAATGGGTCAAAAATGCAAGTTTCAGATTTTGACTGTGTGGTTAGTCTGGCTATTTTCTCTTTTAATGCCTCTCAAACCAGACAACTTTTTCTACTTCTACAGGTTCTCTCTCCGCTCGGGTCATTTAGCTACATTATGTTTTGAAATAAGTTGAAATAAGCTAAAGTTATTATGCTTTTTTATCAAATTAGATGAACCCAGATGATGTTGTCACAAGCTTCTGATTAGTAGGTCGTTTCTCATCCGCTGAGCTCAATGGAAGGATACCTCTAGATATAATCACTTTTAAATATTAAACATGATGGTGCTCCATGGGGTTTTTGTTCTTGGTCTGATTTTAGATATGCTTTATTAGCATCCATTATGTCACCCTTTGAGATTTTCTTTTTTCTTTAGTAATCCTTTAAACTCCAGTGTTTATCAAAGTCTAGGATAGTTTGATTAGTTTCAAACTTGGAAAATGAAGGATTTCTATTTATTCTTTCTTACTTGATCATATAAGGAACATATTCTTATTGATGCTCTGTAACACTGTTAAGCAGCTAGATTTGTTTTCTGCTCAAATTAAACTTCTAATAAGATTTTTCTGCTGTTTCAGCTTTTTAAGGTGTAACCCCAAATAACACTTTTGATCACTCTGCTTGGTTATGCCCCTTCATATATATATGATCTATGATAATATGTCATCCAAGACCCTAATAGGGAACTGTTATCTGTCTTTAGATCAAGACTGAAAAATAAAGATTCTTTTCTGTTTTAGCCCCCTTTTTTTTGGAACCCTTAAATATATGATCTGTGGACTGGATATTAAATTGGTATTTTGCTTTGTATTGTGTGTTATTTGGGTTACATTTGGTGTATTTTTGCTTTTTTTCTCCTTAGGAATCCAAAATGTTCTTTATTGGCATTATATCACCATAATAAAACCTTCCTGAGACACAGATATTAGTTATAAAGCATTGATAGAAAGATGGGAAATGAGCATCTATGGAGGAGACGTAACATTTGAGAACATATTTACATGAAATGTAGTACATTTATTTACATGAAATGTAGTACAATATTTAGATAAAATACAGTTACTGCTGAAAGAGCCGATGAAATGGGCTGATGGTTTATTTAATTTTCAGCTGAGGTGTTCAGTGTCTGCCTACAGGGGGATAGAAGACCTTCACACTTTTAGGAAAGACTTCCTTAGTTGAATTGTTCCCCTGCATTGTCTTGGTGGTTGGGATCTGTCATCAAATGTACCATATAAATAACATATCATGCATATATCCTTATCTCTCTATATCATAAACAGCAAAAAAAGAGACAGCTGTGGATATTTAGCAGAGATTGAAATGAATTTAAATAAATCCCATCATAATAGATTGCATTATTACAGACAATCTTCATTGTTTGTGACATCTTTTCTGGCTTTAATTTCAACTTATTCAGGTAAGTCACTAGAGGCCCCATCTGTAGTTCTGACCCCTCAGTGTATTTTCCTTTCATCTGCAAATTATCAGAGTGATGGGAGATATTCTGGTGCATGTCTCATTTTCTTCTTGTGAAGGGATTCCCCTGAAGAAGAGCTCTCTCTCCCTTGTGCTCCTCTCGTCTCTGTAGTGTCTCCCCCCTGATAGATGGGAGGTAATAAAGGGATTGTTCTGAAATTGGTATTATTTTCTAAATGGTTGCTTAGCATTCTGAGGATTTTTAGCCCTGCTGTTCCCTGTGCATTCAGAAGAGAGTGGTTTGAAGTCAGTTTGTTCCAGATGAACAGATGTTAAGCAGAGAAAGACAAAATGGAGATGGCGCCTGCACCTGGAAAAAACGAATCAGTCTGTTCTTCTTTGGGAGGCAACAGTAATCATTCCTCTGCAGCCCATCACTAAAAGTTCTGTTTTGTGCTTGAATCAGTTTAGTTCCCCTCTGGGTCCTCAGGGTGAAATAAAAACAAAAGTAAAAAAAAGAAAGCTGCTAATATCAACTGCAGGCTGATATTAGCCTTGTTGGACTACAGCGCAGTAAAGAACAAAAAGTGTTTCCCTTTTGAAGGATAAACTTAGTACCACATGCTGGTGGATGTCTGTGATATTTTGCATCTATATCTGCAGATACATGATTTGCATGGATTCATGTATTTCACTGTGGCCTGAGGTTGTTATATATATTTTCTGCAATCCTGGCATTCAGATTTTGCTGACTCTTTCAGATAATCAAAGAGAATGTCAAACATGATTATTACTGAAATATTAACTCAGTTTCTGCCTTTTTTCCCTCCTTGATGCCACCCAGCTGTGGAGAGGAAAAGCTTTGTGGAGACAGAGGCTCTAATTTCCTCCGATAGTACTTTAATCTGCAAACAGCGCAGCATGCTTTAAGGAAAAGGATGCTTTAGTTTTTCTTCGATTATCAATGTGGTCATAAATTTATAACAAGTTAAGTTTCTCTACTGGACGGTCTTTCCACAAAGCCGGACAAGGCCTGAGGGTACAGGAGGGTTAGCAATAATTGGAGTTGTTCATTCTAGAAGAGGGAGAATGATTAGAAGAAAAAGCCTTCAAATTTCCGGTATATTATACTTATTATTATGTTACTGATCGAGGTCCTTAACATCTCATATTCTTTACTAAGTGTCATGGGGCTGATATGGGGATCAGAACTGTAATCAATGTAATTATGGTGCAATAGACTCCATAATATCCAATTAAAATGATTAATGTGTAGAAATCCCCTGCCTTATTGATCCGAGTACTTTAGTAGCAGAGATCTACGTTCTTCTGTTTTGCAAGAAATAATAAAACAATAAAAAATTTCAAATGCTTATGAAAAATAATTGGACAGGTGGTTTTCAGGAAAGAGCCGACCCCTCAACAACAGTCAGTTCCTTATGTGGCCCTTTGAGAGATAACTTCCCACCCTAGATCACATGTTTGGAAAAATGTCTGTATGTGTTTGGTTAACTTATGAAATGTTGTAAAAAATGATTTTCCCATCTGTCTTTTTTCTTTCTATTGACATGCTGTTCATTATGCCTTGTTTTCCTGTTATAGCATTCTAATTTCTGAATCATTTTTTTCTTTGATGTTTGCTTATTTTAAAGTTCCAGATATAAACCTCATGAGAATTCAAAGTTAATTATTGTAAAAAATGTTTTAAACACTCAAAGATCAGTAGTTGATCCCACTCAGCACTATTTAAATTGATAAAGACAGTGTATGAATTGCCCCCCCCTTCTTCTTTTTTTTTCAGCAGGATAATCCAGGCTGCCTGCCTGCCCAGTGAGCTATCATGCTAGCCTGTATCCAGAGACAGCAGAACTTCTCCTCACAGCATTTGGCATGCACACCGAAAAGCTTCGATGTTCCGCCGTCGTCTCTATTGCTCCCAGTCCCGCCACCTCAATCGTGCACCCGGAAAGGTTGGTCTTTTACACCACTTAAACTCTCTGTGTGACTGTATACACAAAAGATCATTGTTTTTTACAAAATCAGTTAAATAGTATTTTTTTTGGTGAAATATAGGTCATTTTGCTTCTAAAGTTAGGCTGTTCTTGTCTTTTAGAAGTCCTCATCAACAGATGCACATAGTTTAGCTCAGAACCCTAGCTGCTGCAAATCTTCTTAAATTAAAATAACAAGCTTCTCCATAATAATGCCTGTTAATTGGGTCAGTAATCAGGGTGCTCCTGCTGTGCAGTTGCAGGCAGGTCAAAGTGGACTCTGGAATTACAGCGTTAATCAGCTCGCCCACACAGTATCACTAATTGATGCTCACATTTTGTGCTTCATGTCGGTGTTGTTTGACCTTCTTCCTGACTAATTATAGTAGTTTTGTTGAAAGGTTGGGTCTTCGTCTTTTGGCCTTGAAGTTATGAGTCATTTTTTTTGCATATCTTAGGTAAAAACAAGAATGTATACATTCTAATATTTTCCTTAATGATTCTTAAATATATTGGCTCAGATTTAGAGATGTGAAGCTACAAATCTACCAAGATTGAAAAGGAAAAAAAACTTTTAAAAAAAACTTTTTCTTTAAAAAAAAAAATAGTATAACATATCTTTACTGCCTTTCACATATAACAAATATCCCACCACCCTTTAAAAACTTTTAACATTTCAACCACTAAAATAACATATCTATTTATGCACGTTTACCGAATGGTGCATCCAACAGTCTTTGAGTAAGAGTTGCATTCATTTATGTTGGGATGTTGATAGTAATTTAATGTTTGTATAAAGTTTGGCACAGTTGAGCTTATGGTGAAGGGAGTTTTGGCTCACCTCCAGTAAAAAGAACACCAGATGATTCAGCATGTCAAGACGTGCTGGAGAATGTCAATGAGATTTTCAAGATAGATCCCTGTCCTATTCCAGCATGACTTTTAACCAAAGCGAAAAGAAAGTTACATTAATCTGTGGTCAAGCCAGTTTTGTATGGGAGAAGTTGACTTATCGACACCTTTTTGTTTTTTTTGGGGGTGCAAATAAGTTCTGAGAATTTAACCCCCAGATTCCACATCCTCCGTCACCGCTCTGCTCCGCCCCGCTCACGTACGTCCTGCAGAGCACTTGCACAGTCATCTTTATCAATGAGAACTGTTATACATCTACCGCCAGTCCTTCACACTTCACCTTCCATGTCTTCTCCATCCTTCACCATCAAAATATGAAGCCAAGCTATTTTTTGCTCCGCTCCACTCCATTTAAAGCCGGCCAGGTCAGGATCACCAATTGCAATCGCATCGAACAGGAAAAAGAACTTCGAGAAGATCTGGTTTGTCAATTTTAAATATGGTAAAGACAGATTGGTAACTACAAATAAGAGAATAATTCTTAAATATTCCCAAAAACTAAGACCATTTCATGAAAATATTGGATGCAAACTATTAATACTTCAACACACCAGGCAACAGATTTGTCATCTTGATCAAAATATTTATTTTATACTTAGATGCTTAAAAGTTTCATCAAAGCACCTCTCACAACTTCAAAAAAAACTTATCGTAGGCATGGATGAAGAGATGGTGAGTTTGGATGTAGAGAACAAACCAATTCTGTATGATCCTAGTTATCCCTATTACAGAGATCCACAATGAAAAGAAAACGTTTGGACAGCAACATTATTATGTTATATTAAATTAGGCAGTCATTACCGCATATTTTGCTTCTATGAATTAACAAATACTATTATTCCTCACTCTCTGCTTGAGTTCAAGGAACTCAAAGCGGAGCAAGACGGGAGGAACTGCTTTTCATAGACAGTCAGTAACGGAGCGGGGCGGTTACAGATGATGTGGGATTTTGGGGTAAAGTAGTCCCACTTAAGCTCCTGACCTCAAAACTGTGCTTTGGAGGAATGCTTAAAGTGATTTAAAGAATAAAACAGACAAATGATATTTTAGTTCGATGGTCTTTTGAAACATTTTCTGCTTCACTAAGATTTAATTTTCAACAAGTTTGAATAAACCTTGAATAAACTTGATCTTAATCAATAAAGCATAAAAGTCATTATATATCAGATTTCTCTCTGCTTTCTGCTCCTTAATGTAACTTGCTGTTATATAGAATCTGAAATTAGCTGAACTGAAATAAACTTGCACAGATTTATCTTTCTCAGATTGAACGTTACCTTAATTAGACTTCACAGCAAACACCTGCAGCTTCACACAAGTGCTTTCACTTACATTGGATAATTGGACTTCCTGTTAGTTTGGGTTTGACTGGCAGCCTGCCATGTGAATTTGCACAGGTCACAAACCTTTTTTTTGAATCTGTAAAAGCTGCTTAGATTTAACAAGAACAACTAGACTAACAGGAAATTCTGGAACTACAGGAAAATAAAAACAAGCCTGAGCTCTAAAGAGCCAAAAAAATTTCAAGTACCACTCTACTAGTTTGACCGACTGTTTAGTAAATTGAAGGCTCCTCTTTGTAGTGTAGCTTAACTGTGTGTATCCAGCTTTGTGAAAATTTGAATGCTCCATCTTCTTATCTCTCCTATCCTAAGGCAAAATACCTCTTTGTCATTAAATATTAATTTAGAGTCAGTGGAGCACTTGTCTGCTAATTGTTGTAACAGAAGGGCCTGCCATGCCTCAGGCAGATCTTGGGATGCATTTCTCATCCCGTTTACCTGCAGGGCCTCCACTTCCTCCTATCTCCACCCGTATGGAGTTTTTTCTTTTTTTTTTCTAATGCTCTGCACCCTCCAGCTCAAGCCTGACATTTCAAGCATTGCCTTAGGGAATAAGCTCCCGATGAGAGCTCAGTCTGTGTGGTCCACGCTTTTTCATTAAAAGACTCGTTGCTGGAGCGAGTTAAAGAGGGACAGCCTCTGGCCACTGCTGCGCTTTTCAAAGCCATTTCCACTTTTCGCTATCAATAAATTGAAGGAACACTATAGCTCTCACAGTTGCGCAGGAGCCCATGTGAACCATTTCCAGGAAAATGTTACGAAGATGAGAGCAAATGAGAGCTCCGCTATCTCGATGTGAATGCAAGGGCTGGGATTTCTTTTTTTTTTTCCCACGCTGCTGGCCTGGGCTCGATTGCTGGCTTAGAGAGGGGAAAGTTTGCCCGAGCCGGGCCAAAGTGCCACAGAAACAAATGAGAAATGACACTGGCGCAAAGAAGTCTTTGCCAGAACCTCCTGGAGCACACATATGAGCGTTGAACCCCAAGGTCACTCCGTTCTGAAAGCACCGTTCATGTCGAGGCTACTGACACGGAAACAGGGAGGCATGTGAGAATGGGGTGAATGAGTGTCTGTGTTTTTAGCCTGGTTTGTTTACCAGGGAAGGTCATAAATAGAGAGGCTAGTGTGAAGGGAGAACATGTTGGGGTGCACATGTCCTGTTTCTTGACTTGCAGAGGGAAATGCAGATAATTAGCAGTCAGATCTGATGCGCAGTCTGGCAGAGCTAATGGAGACCAACACAGGTCTCAGTATCTACTCTAGTGATGAACAAGTGCGTTTATAGTGCACAAGTCCAGATATTTACATATAGCCTCACTTATTGTCTTATTTTTTCCTATTTTAAAAAATCCAGAATATTTTTATGATCAAATTGTCATTCATTGTCTTTAGACATTTAGGAAAGCCCAGTTAATAAAGTCTAATAAAGGTTTTTCTAAGGTTCTAATAGGTCAGTACACAACTGAGTTAAACAGAACACGTGGATCAGTTTAAGGAAACCATAGAGAAATCAAAAGAATCTAAATGATTATGCATCTTCATTGATATGATTTAAAATGTTTGCTTCACTTTCCAGATTCTATTTAATAAAAACACTTAATTTATCCCAAATAAATTGTTGCAGTAACTTGTAGGGTTTTTCCATAATTCATCCACAAAGGTCTGCATTCATCTCCCTAAACATTTATATATTAACCCAATGGAAAATCTAGCCATCATAATGTTTACAAAGAACAGCTCTGTACCCTGATGATGGACGTGATTTCATTTACCTATTTAAAAAAAGCATATAAAACATAAGCTTCTGTAATTATCCACAGTGGAGCTTTTTACTGTGATAGAAAATGCGGGATGCAGACCGTAACAAATTTTTGGAGACGTGTCCTGTGGTCTGACAAAATGAAAATTGAAGTGTTATTGCTAAATACCTATTTATGCTCAACTTGTGCATGCTTAAGTTGAGCATAAAGAAGTTTTGAGACAGCTAACCTATTGGCCTATTTAATTGCTGAGGGGCCTTTTTTGTTACAAACTAACCACAAATTTTCCCTCAAGTGTATTTGTAATACACAGATTCAAACTTTAGAAACATCATAGAATGATAAACATCAAATTAATGAGAAATGGTCTTTTGTTTTTATATTATATTAAATGATAACACAGAATTTCCTTTTCTCTTGGTATCCATGTTTCCTATTGTAAGGAGGTTTTCAGTTTAGCTGTCGACTCTGACAGAAAGTCTATTGCAGAGGCCCGTTTCAAACCGATGAAGGCAGGACCAATTAATTATATGGGTTTTAATTACTGGGCTTATTGGGCCAACTGGATACTTTGGATGAGTTGTCATAGCAACAGAGAAATTGGTTTGAAAGGCAGTTTGCATGCCTTGAGCTCAGTCCCCTGTTATTAATATAGCTGAGAATATTTTTATTATCGGTATTATTGGTGTAGTAAACAAGTATTTACGCCCGCTGAGAAGTGCTGTTCTGTAATTAACCGCCTGTTTTTTAGAGCTGTGTTCCTGCTGAGGTTCTGACACCAGTAAACAAGTGATCTCACCCAAGTGTTCAAGATAAGTCCTTAGCTGAAGATAAAAGGCCTTCTAATCCTGGCAGTTCTGCCTTCGGGTATGGTTATATTGTAGTTTTATCTCATGTGGGAATCATATCTAGCAGTCGCTGTAATTGTTTCCTTATGTTCCCTCAGCATGAGGCGGCTGGAAGC